CTACCCCCCCCCCCCCCACAAAAAAAAAAAAAAAAAAAAAAAAAGAAGAAAAGAAAAGAGGTATACTTTCACTTCTGGAAAATTCACTCAGGAGAACATTTCACTCTCTAGTGAGGCTGGATAAATGGTACACAATTGAAATGCCTCTTAATGTGCCACCAGACTTCCATATGAGAAAGTTTAAGCAAAGAACATCAGAGGTTGACAGTTAAGAAGAGCTACAGCGTTTGCATGTATTTATGCATGTGTCTGTTCATTTTCCAGAAAATCATTACATGAGAATCAAAGTTCCAGATGTCCCTCAACTGGATCACTTGATTTGGATGCTCCTGACGAGGAGTTAAAGATGGGCATCATTGGAGGTGGCCACCTTGGGAAGCAGCTGGCTGATGCACTGCTGCAGCTTGTCCCCATCCCTGCTGAGAGCCTGAGGATCTCCACTAGGAGGCCAGAGGCTCTGGGTGAGGAGCAGTGTGTGGTAGAAAGAGGCTCGGTTGTGCTGTTTAGGTGTTGACGAGGTCACTTTGAAAGGGTGCCCTTCAAAGATGAAAATCCCTGCGTGCAGCATGCTGAGTTCTCAGCTTGCTAGCCCTAAGAAAAGCTAGAAAGCTGGCTTTTTGATTTGTTCCTTAAAACTACTTTCTTCTCCACTTAAATGTTTTTTATTTATCTCTCCTCTCTGTGCTCTTGGTCGTGAATTATCTTTCTGGGTCTTTGATACAGGTAAGCCTTCCATAAGAGTTCAAATCTTCTAACTAGATCAGTTCAAGTCTGGTGATTATTAAACAATTTTAAACATTTGCATTTGGCCTTATATATATTTTTAAAATAACATTTACTGAATTTTAAAAAATGTTTTGTAATGATTTCATTTACTAATCTATGGTGATAGAAATCAGAACAATGATTGCTTCTGGGGAGATGGACTGAGAAAGGAGCCAAGGGAGCTGGGGAGATGGAAATGTTCTGTTTCTTAAGAGAAGTGTGAGTTAAATGGGTATATGCATTTGTCAAAACTGATCATGCTTTATACTTCACATCTGTGTGTTGCACTGCATGTGAGTTATACTTCAGTAATAATGTAAAGTAATATAATATATATTGTAGAAAATTTAGAAAATTACTCTGTAAGAAGAAAATAAAAACTACCTATATCGTTTCCTTCCATTTTTTCCTCTAATTATATCAGTACCTGATACTGTACGTAGTTGTTCGTATCCTGCTCTTTTCACTTAACGTGTCATGAGCATATTCCCATATCGTTATTTAACATCCTTCAAAATAATTTTAAGTCCCTCTGCTATCCTACAGGAAGAAGTGCCACCAACAGCCTTTGAAAGCACTCCCCTGCATTTCCCCAGCAGGATGGGCTTGCCAGGCCAGTGGCTGGGAGCACCAGATACCCAGCACCATTCTCCCTTTCTCTGTTTTCTTCTCAGGATTTAAAATTTAATTACATCAATAGAGATTAATTTTATTTATTTATTTTTCTTTCTTTCTTTCTTTTTTTTTTTGTTCTTCTGGCACCAGGAACAAATCCTGGATCTTTGCATTATCAGCACCGTGCTCTAACCAACCAAGCTAACTGGACAGCCTCAGTAGAGATGAATTTTAATGTAAAAAAATGATTTTAAGGGCCGACCCCGTGGCTTAACTCGGGTGAGTGCGGCGCTGGGAGTGCCGCGGCGCTGGGAGTGCCAAGGCTGCGGGTTCGGATCCTATATAGGGATGGCCAGTGCGCTCACTGGCTGAGCCCGGTGCGGGCGACACCAAGCCAAGGGTTGCGATCCCCTTACCAGTCACAAAAAAAAAAAAAAAAAAAGATTTTAAGGTTGTATAGTATTCCAAAGTATGGACATACCATAATTTATATAACTGTGCCTTATTTAGTTGGACTTCTTTGTACATAATTTTCAAAATAAAATTACTAGGTCAGAGAATAGGTACAACTTTATTAAGATATTATTTATATACAATAAATCGCACATAGTTAGTGTACAAGTTGAGGTTTTGACACGTGTGCCGCTGGGAAACCATCAATAGTATCCATCACCTCCAGAAGTTGCCTCTTGCCCTTCGTAATCTCTGTCTCTCTACTTTCCTGCACTTCCCACCCAAGGAACCAATGATCTGATTTGTCATCATAGGTTAGTTTGTATTTTCTAGAATTTTATGTAAGTGGAATTAAACTGTTCTTCTTTGGGTCTGACTTCTTTCACTCTGCATAATTATTTTGAGATAAGTCCAAGTTGTTTCATGTATCAGTATCCTTTTTATTCCTGAGTAGTATTTTATTACATGAATGTTCCTTAGCTTATCTATTCATCTGTTGATTTGTGTTGTTTCCAGTTTTTGGCTGTTACAGCTAAAGCTGCTGTAAACATTTGTACACAAGTGTTCATGTGGGCAACTGATTTCATTTTTCATGGGTAGAAATACCTGCCAGTAAAATGGTTAGGTCATGTGCTATGTTTAATTTTTAAAGAAACTTCTAATATGTTTTTTCAAATTGACCTCAAAAAAGTTTGTTCAGGTATTAATTTTACCAGCCTTTTGTGAAAACACCCATTTCACTACACCTTTGTCAATACTGGGAATCATTTTCAACATCACCATTTTAATATGACTTTTAAATTTTTCTTGTTTTTTTTTTTTTTTCCTTTTTGTCTTTTTTACTGACTGGTAATGGGATCGCAACCCTCGGTGTCACGCCCGTACCGGGGACCAGCAACGGGATCGCAACCCTCGGTGTTGCGCCTGCACCACGCTCAGCCAGTGAGCGGGAACCGGTCTCCACATGGGATCCGAACCCTCGGCGGGAGCACCGCCGTGCTCCCAAGCGGTGCACTCTCCAGTGCGCCACCAGGCCAGCCCAAAATTTTTCTTGTTTTAATATGTCTTTCATTGATCACTAAACGAGTTAAATGTTTTTCATAGGTTTTTTGCCTTTTTTAGTTGCTTTTGCCCATTTTTTCTGTTGCAGTTGCCTGTATTTTTCTTACTGATTTGTAAATGTTCTTTCTATATTAAGGAAACTTTAAAAAAAAAAATCTTGGGCCGGCCCGGTGGCGCACTGGAGAGTGCGCCGCTTGGGAGTGTGGCGGCGCTCCCGCTGAGGGTTCGGATCCCATGTGGAGACCGGTTCCCGCTCACTGGCTGAGCGCGGAGCGGGTGCAACACCGAGGGTTGCAATCCTGTTGCCGGTCCCCGGTCCGGGCGCGACGCTGAGGGTTGCGATCCCGTTACCGGTCAGAAAAATAGACAAAAAGGAAAAAAAAAAATCTTAACCACTTGAGGCATATTTCTTAATCCTAGCAATAGGGCTAGTAGATATGATATTTAATACAGTACATGCCATGGATTGAATGCCTTCCCAAACTTATTGAAGCTTAAATCATGTCCCCCAAAGTTCCAGGTATTGGAAATTTGGCCCCCACTGTGACAGTGTTAAGAGGGTGGGAAACCCTATTATGATAATTGAAAGGTGGGGCATGGAAGAAGTGATTAGATTGTAGGTCCATGCCCTAATGAATGGATTAATGATGGTGGTCAGGGGTGTGGTTCTGAGGGCTTTAGAAGGAGAGCACATGAAATTCTGTCTCTGCTCCACTATTTCTGCTATGTGAGATCCCTGAATCACTGTCACCACCACCAAGGACTTCACCAGATATGTTTCCTGGGCTTTGGACTTCCCAGCCTCAGAAACTGTAAGCAATAAATTTCATTTCCTTTATAAATCACCCAGTTTCAGGTATTTGTGTTATTAGCAACAGAAATGGACTAATAGAGTACATATATTCTTTGGGAAGCAATATATTTATTAGTAGTAAAATTACAGTTTTAAAATATCACTGTGTGTTGTGTAAGGAAGCAAGAATTCACAATGCTTAGCATTGGCTTCTATGCACACAAAAAGAATGAGAACACATGAAAGAATGATGGATGTGCCTGTTTTCTTCTTTGTCCTATCTTCCAGGTTTATGAGAATCCAGATAACCTTAGCATCACATCTGTCATGTACTCTTGGTGGTTAAGATAAAGACTCGCCTCTCCAATGTCTGTCATATTCTGTTTTCCAGTAACACTTGAAACATATGTATTAGTCCGTTTTCTGTTGTTTAAAACAGAAGACCTGAAAGTGGGTAATTTATAAAGAGATAAAATTTATTTCTTACAGTTCAGAGACCAGGAAGTCCAAAGTCCAGAGAACACATCTGGTTAGGGCCTTCTTGTGGGCTCTACAGCAACACAGGGTGTCACACGAATGGGCTGAGCAAGAGTTAAGTTTCTCACTTGCTCTCCTTATAAAGCTGTCATAACCACGCCCATGACCATCCATTAAACCCTTACTGGATTAATCCATTCACAAGGATACAGTCCTTTACAGAACCTTTAAAGGCCCCGCCCTTCAGTTACCATAATAGGATTTCCCATCCTCTTAACACTGTTACAATTGAGATTAAGTTTCAATGAGTTTTGGGGGCATATTTAATCCACAGTAACATATTACCAGATGTGAGTGAACATTTTAAATTCTTACTTTTGAAAACTCATGTTGCAATAAGTCCAATGAAATGATTAACTGCCAGTGAATGTTCTTATGCAACTATGTGAGTTGTCACATTTCTACATTTATAATTATCTTATTAACATTAAGTTATGTATACTTTACAGAAACTGTTGAATCTTTCCGAACTCCTCTCAGACTCTGTTGTGTACTATTCTATGCTGCTAGTCTTTCCAACCAACTGAACCCAGTGAACTGTGTAACTTTGGGCATGTCACATAGCTTCTTTGAAGGCTCAGTTTCCTCATCTATAATATGAGAATAATTCTAGTCTCTGTCTCATAAAGTCCTTGTGAGGATTACCTTAGATCATGAATATATTTGTACATTATTTGGTACATGATAAACCTTCAGTAAATTGGAGCAGAAGTCTTCTTTAAGATTTTTTTCTTCCTAAAAAAAGTTTGAAAAATTCCAGCATTTGTCCTAAAAGTAAGATAAAGATGAATTATTTTATAATTCATGCATTGCAGTGGCACCAGTTGCTTTAGTAATGAGCTTAGGGAATTGCTGCATGATTTTTAGAAGGTATGTGGGCATATCTTCTGATTTGTGTGGCAACAAGACTTGGGTCGATTTACTGAGATAAAATAATGATCAACTTCTTCCCATAGTTCAAATCAAACTTCTTTGTACTGTGCTCTTTCTGTCTTCCTTTATCCCTCTTAGATGAGCTCCAGAAACTGGGGGTCCAATGCTTTTACCATAACTCTTATCTGGTGGGTTGGGCCGACATGATATTCCTCTGCTGCTTGCCATCTCAGCTGCCTAATATCTGCTTAGAAATTCAAACCAGCCTTAAGAAGACCTGCATTGTGTACAGCTTTGTAGCTACCACCCCACTACCCAGGTATCTTTTTAGGGTGAGAAGAGAACTAGCAGAACTGCTTTGTCTCCTCTGACTTCTGCCTCCCATCTCCACCGTAGCCCCTACTTCTTGGTGTTGGTCATTCTCAATAGTAAGGAGGAAACAGTCTGATCTGCAGAGGACCCAGCTAACATTGCTATGTCTTCCCCACTTTCCCACAGCAGCACTTGGGGGTGGGACATTTTCTTTGTTGTACAAATGTTTAGAACTGCAAAAGAACACGGCCGCCCACTCCTTGAAGCTGAATAGTATTCCCCTTGTGCATCAATGAGAAGAGAAACTACCAGTCAACAACATGAAAAGTTACTGAAAGCATTTGTCAAATATTATTTTAGTACCCCTAGTGTTTAGCCCAGTGCCTGGCACATGATAACATTCAATAAGTGTTTGTTAGGTGGTCAGATGAACAGTTCAACTAGTCAGTGTCCTCAGTGCAAACCCAGACCTGAGTCTGACTCTGAGCAGTGCTGTGCAGGGAGTCTGTTGCTGGGGTTGGATGTGAACTCAATGGATTATATTGTGTTTATTCCAGCCTTGGCATTGCATTCCCTGACTTGATGGCCTTACTTCCAGGTTGAAACTACTACTGAACCACACCAATATCTTGCGGCCTCAATATCATTGTGTTCAGAATTTTGTTAACATCTGGGGGGCCAATAAGAAAATCACAGCTGCTCTCCAAGATCCTGTGATTCTTCAGGCTACCTGCCCCTACAGTCCTGCTGGTAATGTTTAACCATATTTCTGGCATTCTTTTGAAAATTACCTTCCCTTTGGTCTGTTGCTATCTTATTAAATCCGTGTGTGTGTGTGTGTGTGTGTGTGTGTTAGGTTTTGTAAAGAAACAGTCTTTAGTGTTAAAAAGCTGAGAAGCCTGATTATTTGGACCCTTTAAGGATAAACTGGAAACAACCAGAGGAGATAGCTTACTTAAACAAGAGGATGCAAAGTCTGGGACTAAAATGGCTTTTCCCTGTTCTAACCTTGCAGTTTTCACCAGTTCTTTCTTACTGGCATGGGCCGTTCTAGAGGCACTTTTGCCATTAGCAATGTCTGTACGAGTCTTATCTGTTCTTTTGTATGGAAAACACATGATGTGTTATAAAAGGCAGAAATAGGGCTCTTGGCCTAAGAAAGAATAGTGTTTGCTTATCTCAAGGTACATGATACTAAACTGTCTTGGTTCCCTGCAACTCATTTTTAATGGGCCTAACTGGTATTTACTTTTTCATTGATGTGTAGGGGGAATAATCCTCAATATCAAGTGGTTGGAGGGAGTGTTTTATGCAGCCCTAAACATCTGCACAGCAAGCAATGTGGCCCACTCACAAGTGCTACAGTTTCTGAATGAACTATTTCTCTCTGTGCACTTTGAAGACTGTGAGAAAGACACAGCATCTTGCCCAAAATTTCAGTTAACAAATTTTGTCAGCAAAACCTATGTCAAGAACCTGTCTCAGAACAGGTAAGGTGGTCAGACAGCTGGCCATTCTAATTTTTCTCATACTCCTGTCTCAGCAGACACTTTTCCTTTTATCCTTTCATGTTCTCTTTAAAAACAAAAATGTGTTATTTTTGTCAAAACTTTGGTAAAAAAGTGAAAGCCTTCCTTTGTCTCCCTCTAACAGTTTTTATGTTTTTGTCTTTTTACCTATTTACAAACATATATATATATTGTCATTATATGAGGGTACTTCAAAAAGTTCATGGAAAAATAGAATTAAAAAATAATACGAATATTTCCATGAATTTTTTGAAGTCTCATCATAAGTATTTATAATGTGTATGCATATTTATTTCTATAAATAGTGTTAGAAACACGGGAACTATATATATATACATACACACACACACACACACACACACACACACTGCTTTTTCACTTACTATATTGCAGATACTATTCTATGTTAGTGCAATCATATCCACTTCATTTATGAGCAGCTGCATAGGCATCTATTGGCTGCATTTAATTAAATTTATTCACTCTATCTCCACTTGATAGAGATGTAGTTTTTTCCCCCTGCCCCATATTTTGCATAAAGGGCTGCTCAAACAGTCTCGTACTTACATTGCACACTTGTACTGATATTTCTGTTGGATAAGTATGTGGAAGAATATCTGGGTGTATATATTTTATGTTTGACAGGCATTTCCAAATTGCTTGTTCAAAATGTGGTGCTCATTTACATTTTCACCAACAGTGTATGAGTGCCATTTCTCTATAGCTTGATAACTATACAGTCTTTTTAATTTTTGATCATCTAATACTCAAAATTGTTGCTCATTACCAGTGATTTCCATGTCACCAGATTCACTCAACACTTTAATCCTTTTCTTTTTTTTTTTTTTTTTTCCCTTTTTGTCTTTTTTCGTGACCGGCAACGGATCGCAA